CGCTCCCGGCTCCGCGGACCGGGCTCCGCCGCGCCCGCTCCACTCGGCTCCGCCCGCCGCCACTGCAGCCGCCCGGACCTGAGGGTCTCCGGGCGCTCCGACCCTTCCGGTCCGCTCCAGCCTTCCCACCGCAGCCGCCGCGGCGCTAGCCTGAGCGACCTGCAGGCTGGCCAATCCGCGCGCGGAGAGCCGGGCGGGCGCGGCCAATCGCCGCCGGGGACGGGCGGTAGCGGGGCGGGGCTGGACGGGCTGCGCCGGGCTGCGCTCCGGGTTCAGGTCTAACGCCGCGGGCGGGGAGAAGGGGGCGGCGGGTCCCGGCCGCGCGCGGGACCCAGCAGATTGGCTGCTGCGCTCCGGTGCGCAGAGCACGCGGCAGACCGCGGAAGCGAACGCCGCTCGGCCGCGTGCTGAGCCCGCCCCAGCCGGGTCAGGAATCTCGCTGAGGCCGCAGGTGCACCCCCGCGGCGGGGCGAGAGCCAGACCGGAGCGAGGAGGCCAGGGTCCTCAGTCCGGAGGCCTTAGTGCCGGAGAGGCTGAGGCGAAAGGAGGCCGGGGGAGGTCACGTGGGAGGAGGGGTGCGCGTAGGGACGGCCGGGTTCCTAGCCCCGACGGAAACTGGAGCGCGGGCTTTGGCTGCTCCGAGCTGGTGAGCACCTCTACACCTCCCGCCCCTTGTCGGGTCCCCGCAGGTCCTGGCAGAGGTTGCAGGAGCAGGGGTTTGGAATGTCGACACATCTGCGTTTGGATAGTGAAGCTGCAAGTGCGGCAAGGAGGCTGACACCTTGGGGAACGGCGCAGAAATTTGTGCCTGGGGCAGGGCTTCAGGGCTGGAGATGCTGGGGGCAGCGGTCGAAGGAGGGTGACTGGCAGTATGGATCCCAGGATGCCGGAGGCCTGGGAAAGACCCGGGTGGAGGGAAGGAGCAGAACCCGACAGCTGGGAGTCAGAGCCTAGATGGCGTGCAGGCCGGCAAGCCTGCGGCCTGAGTCCCGAGCCGAAGGCTGGCCCAGTCGGTGGAGTCAAGGAAGATTCTGCCGGGTTGTCTCTCTGTGGCCATCCCATCCTTAGCCACCAGAGGGCTTTTTGGAAGTCGGCTAGAGCTCATTGCTGAAAATGATAGCTTGGAAGTGGGGCCTGCCCAAGGAAGATCCAACTGCTGGGCTACTACCGGGCCCTGAACCTCCATCCAGCCTTACCTGCTGCCTTCCTTGGGTGCACAAGAGGAACCCTTAGGGTAACTAGCAAGAAGCCTGGCTGTCAGAGCTGTGGTTTCTCACCTATGCATGTGTGAGCGCTTCCCATTCATGAGCACTTCCCCCAAAAAATCACTGCTAGACTTACTTCCCACTGGTTCTATTCCAGGGACACAACTTTTCTCTGGTTTATAAATGATCATGCACCCTTATGGCCACAGGGTAGGGGTGGGAGCTGGCCGGTGCCTTGGCAGAGCACAAGAAATCCTGGTTGAGGTCTGCAAGTGAGAAGACCCTGTCCTAAGTGTGAGCCAGGTGGGACATGTATGTGGCTTACAACTGCCAGGTGAGTAAATGCATTTGAGGCCTGCACAGAGCAAATTCTCGGCTAAGGCTGGGAGCAGCAGAGAAGTGCTTGGCCTGTGACTGAGGCAGAAAGGTTCAGAAATGACCTATGTGGTGTGGTCTGAGAATCACAGGTTGCCTGGACTTGCTGAAGAGGGAAGGAGGGGACTGGTGTCTTAGCGGGGGGTTAACATTGCCAGCTGGTGATACAAGGATTGGCTTCAACACATTGATAAGCTTTCCTTACCTAAAGGTGTTTGGGGTTTTTTGTTTGTTTTTACTTATTTGCCAAGATTTAAAAAACGGGAGTCTTAGCTAAAAAATAAAAGTAAAAAACAAACAACAAACTTCCACTGTTGGCTTCTCTTTAATAGTTGGGTCTGGCAAGAAGGAGTATGCATTCCTGAAGGGCAGCTGCCCCTTTAGGTAAGGTCCCCAGTTTGCTCCTGCCGATCCTCACCTGCTCTAGCTTTGCTGCTTCTACCTGCTCCCCAGAGGGCATCACAGGTTGGCAGCCTGCCCGTGGGATAAGGACGGCTGCTGAAGTGCAGTAAGCAAGGAGCTCAGTGATGCAGTCAAGTGTTACTTCAGAAGGGCTGCTAGACCATGTAAGATTTGGGCACAAAGCTGATGGTATCATGTGCTGGTGATGCTGTGGAGCCATTGGAAGCCTTGTTCACAGCTGGTGGGAAAGAGCCCTATATCAGCTTTGCAAAGATTTTGTAAGGTTGCACATACTACAGTCATAGCAACAGCAAGCCTGTTCCGGGTATCTACCCAAGAGATAAAAATGTGAATGTTTGTAGCATCTTTATTCAAAATATTCAAAAACTAGAAACGTATTCATATGTCCATGATCCAGAGAATGGATAAACAAGCTGTAGTACATCCATATGGTGGGCTGCTACCTGCTGGCAAGTGCACAACATGCCTACATGGCAGAAATGATGCACAAAGTAACAGATGACAAACATGAGGTTCCCCTCTGTGATTCTGTTGTGTGCGATAGCCCAAATTTGATCATTGGTCATCAGAGGTCAACTTAGGGGAGGAGGTGCCTACCACAGATGATGGGGCAATTTTGAGTAGAAATGGTTAAACTCTTATTTTAATTGTGATAATGGCTGTATGGCTGTATATTGGTGAGAACTCAGGACTGTGACCCTTAAAGTATGTGAATTAAATTTATTTTTTTTAAATTTTTTATTTATTTATTTGTGTGTGTGTGTGTATGTGTGTGTGTGTGTGTGTGGCCAGCTCAGCCCACCAGGGGGCGCGGCTGGCTGACATGTGGTGCTGGGGGATTGAACCGCTGTCCCTGTGCTTTGCTAAGCTTGTTCCAAGTAGGTGCTTTAGACCACTGAGCCATCTCACCAGTCCCGTGAATTAAATTTAAATAAACTTGACAAGGAAGAAAGAAAACCAAGGGTTGAAATTGACAGGTCTTTGTGAGAGGGGCAGGGCATGGGGCAAGCAAGGCAGGTAGAGGAGTGGGAGGTAGCCGAAATCCTGGCTTGATTTCCAGAATGAGGCCCTCTGCCCTACTTTGCCCCCGTTCGCCCCCAGAGAAGTCTGTCCCAGCTGCTGCCTTCCTGCCCTTTCCTGGCTCTCACCTTCAGCACAGCAGCTTCTGGCTGTGAACCTGCTGTGTTGAAGGCTTCCTGCCCACCCCCACCCCCAAGCCTCGTCCCTGTCCTTTGGCTTCCTCTTAGCCACTACCCCCCTGGTTACTCAGCACCAGAGGATACACAATATCATGGCTCTGGGAGATACTGCCCACCTCCTGCCCATGCTGGCCTCTATCAGAGTGAAGAGAACCCAGGAGGCAGGAAGAGGGCTTCAGCCTCTTGTGCTGGCACTGGGGCCAGAGAGAAGGGCTTTTCCAGAGGCCAACTGCGTGTACTGCTGCAGGAGAATTACCCTCTATGAGCCCAGCTCCCAGCTACCTTTCACTGGCCTGGGTTCACATCTAACATTCTGCTTATCAGCTATGTCTTGGGGCAGGAGATTTGTACCGTAGTTCTTGGGACAGGTACTTAGTCCTGGCCTGTGATATTCTAGGAAGTCGGCAGGCAGCCTAGAGTGTAGACAGTGCCTGCAGCGATGGAGTCCTCCAGCTGGCCTCCTCCATACCATCCCTCACCTTGCCTTCATTTCCCTGCTCTCCTAACCCATTTCCCTTCTCCTCAGTCTTTACCAGGGCTAGAGATGTGCCAACATGCCCTTAAACCAAAAAGGACAAGTATTCCTCCATTTTTTTTTTGTGTCACTATGATGAAATCCTAAATATCCTATAAAGAAAAGAGGGATAGGACTGGGGGTGTAACCCAGTGATAAAGCCCTTGCCTAGCATGGGTGAGGCCCTGGGTTTGATCCCTAGCACCACAAAAAGTAACCCCCGCCTCCAGAGTCAGGGAGAAAAGGTTTACTTTGGCTCACTGTCCTATAAGTGCAAAGTGGAGGGGCTGTAGCTGATGCTGCCTTCTTGCTGGCCAAGTCCTGAGGTGATCCTGGGTAGCAGATGGTAAGAGACAAAAAGAACATGTGTGTCTCCCTGGCTTCTCATTAAAGCAGCCCGGA